CTATTCTAATTCTTTAATTATTTCATACTTTCATTAATTTGTGCATATTATTTAAACACTCCAATTTGATACTTTGTTTGTTAGTTAATGTTTGATATAATCATTCAACTAATGTGGTGCTGTGTTTATTTCATTTTAGGTTTAGTTTCAATGAGAAGAATTGTTGTATATTTTATTACTAAGTCTAATTTTTAAATAGAAAATGAAATAGACCCAATAAAAGAATGTTAGGTATAAGAAATATCAATAATATAATAACACCACTCATACTTTAATAAACCAACACGTATTTGTATTAAATATGTCAAATGATTTAGATTCTTATTTCTAATAGCATTTAAATCTTCACTATATAGAATATCTCATAATTTATTTTTATAAAACAATAAATAAATGCTTCCTTGTTTATTATAATGTAATTATAATCACAAATCAATTGTCAATGGTTTTTAATAAGTGATGGAGTGTATTTCTTAATTCATTCACTGGTTGTTTAATTTTCATTACTTTCTTCTGTGTTTCTAATTTTCTTTCAACTTTCTTTTGAAGAGGTTGGGTATTTTTATTAATGACGATTCTTCTAAATAGTGGTGGAATAGATTGTGCATCAATCATATGCCTTTGAATAAGTAGTTTGATACAACATTCAGTTTCCTGCCTGACTATCATTGTCTTTGATTTTAATAATTGAATCAACTCATTCACATAAAACTTAGTTATTGGTTCTGAAACAATATATGGAAATACTCTGACAATAATGACCTGTGACTCATTAGTTACTTTATGGTACTTCATGTAATGAAAAATTATTTCCATCCCAATATTCTGTATCAAATGAATAGTCCTATTTAATGATTCTGAATCAATCAAACTAGTGTGTGAAAGAAGAAAAAAAACCAGGTTGATGTCATGGTATTGAATTGCATGTGAATAAACATAGTCAATAAATGTATTTCTTGTGTTATTTATTTCTTCTTTATTTGTTACTTCAATATAAAATTGTTTTATAGTCTTATGAAATAATTCATTTTGTGTAAACAATGGTATGAAGTATTTGAATTGGTTGTAATTTGTCTGAAGAAGTAGAACAAATTGATTGTCCATTGTTTTGTATTTATAAGTCATAAAAACAAAGAAATCAAAATGGAAATTGTTTGGAAGTAGTTTGATTATTGGTTCTATTTGTTTTGTTTCTTTTTCAAACCTTGTTTTAACTAAATTCAATGACAGTGACATTATTTCTCTTCTAGTTGATTTACAAGATAACGAAAGTGAAATAATGTCATCATTCTTCAGGTATTGAATAATATTGAATAAATCAGTGGTAGAAATTATATTCATTAGTTAATATAATAAGAAATTTTCTTTTGGTAATGAGAATTAAAGTTATATCATTTATAGTTTAATGAATAGTATTTTTTATGTAAAATAATTTTATTCTAAAATAATTAATAAAACTTGTCATATCAGTTGTTTGATGAGTATGACAATTGTTCTCTTTATTATTATACAATCACTATTACTCTGTCATAGTATTGTTGTTCTTTATTTTCATTGTATACACTTCTTTACAACTCTTTAGACTATTAAGTTTATAAAATAATCATGAACATACTTCATCTCTTTCTGTTATTATTCTCAGGGTGAAGCTCCTCTTGTTTTGTTTTTGCTCTATTGAAAGTCATCGTTTTCAAACAATAGAATGACTTGAGTTTTATTAATTGTTGCTAGATTATTTATGATTAAAATTGAATTAATACAGATGATAAATAAAGTGCTTTTGTTTCTAACTTCTTTTTATAATAATGGTAAAGCACTGGATATTGAATATAAATAGCAGCTATATTGTTCTCTTGGATTATAAAAGAATCAAAAACATATAATAATACAACAATTAGAATATATTTACTAAAACAAGACTGACAACTTAATCACTAATCAGTATATTAAACCTCTTTGTTTGATTCTTCATTGAAAATAACAGATAGTTGTTATCTTTCATCAAATCAATTACAATTGTATATTCATCATTAAATATTCAATAGATTTTCTCGTTATTATCAACTTATAATCCCATAACATTATAAGAAAAATACATTATAAAAGTCTAATAAAATTATATTGTTCAGTATTAATCAATGAAAAAGAAATGATTTAACTAAACAATACATACAAAATGAGACATTTTCATTGAATTTCATTAAACTACAATTGATTTCATTTATCTAGACTCTTTTTATACCATTTAATATGAACTTATTCTGTTCAAGAGAATAAATCAACTGATAACTTCAATAAATCTGCTTATTTATGTTTAGAATTAGTGCATACCAACTCACCGTTCTTGTTCAATTGATTATCACATATATTAATTTTTCTGTCATAACATATTCGTGTTATGATGGTTGTAGCTCTTAGAACATTAATAACCATTAGTTAAATCCATATAATGATTTAGTCATTAATAAACTTAACATAGTTATCTGTCATCTAGTATGATTTACTATGCTTTGTCATGAATAATGTTCATTTTTGAGTCTAAACAATAAATAACTCTCTTGTTTATTTACTATTAATAAAAAAATCATCTAATATCATTACCAATATACAATAAAATAATTCTTGTCATACGTTAGATGTTTATTGATTAAACCCATTCAAAATAAGTCAACTAATAAACCAATATCATCCACACACAAAAATAATATAAATTATTGTCCATGCTTTAAGTGTTCAAGTGGAACAATATAGTCTAGTTGTTAGCTATTTTGTTCATACAACCACTTCTGTTCTTCATCAAACAAAAAATACTATTCAAGAAATAGCACCTGTAATAACTAAAACAAATGGTACAACCTTTTTTCCCAAAACGAAAAATGTCTTTTGACAATACAAAACATCACCTTTTCATTTTCTTCAAGTCTTGTTTATGTTAATAACACACCTTTTATATCCTGTCTGTCTCTTCCTCATCATAACCAATATAGTTGTCTCTCAGCATGAAGAGACAACAACACTTAAAGAAACTTATAAGGAGAAATAGAAATGAGGAAAAACAGAACAACAAAAAATCCATTTGGGTTTATGGAGTATCAACCAGCATCTCCAATCTCAGTAAGCTCAGTTGAACTCACTGTTGAGCAAATGAACCAAATTGCGTCAGAGTGGGGAGAATACTATCCTAGTGAACTAGAGGAGTTTGAAGAAATGAATAATAGAAAAAGATCAAATCAACAACGTTCAACAATGAACTATCCTGGATTTATTAGTGCATTAGAATTGAAAAAACAAGAAGAAGCTATGAATTCCGAGTATTGTTCTCATAGAAGTTATGAAGAATGACCCAAGTAATTTCTTTCCAAAGCAATTGACAGGTTAGGAAATGATGAAAATCAGATAAAACTCAATTCATTATTTTATGCTATGTATCTCATTTTAGAAGAGAAAATTAAAAACAAGAAAAGTCAAGAACAAAAAATAATAAAAAAGAATTACAAAAAAAATAAAAAGAACTGAAAAAGAATTTCAGAAATTATATTTTATATTATCATAATGACGGCATTTTTGTTTTTACTAATGGTTCTTTTTGTTGCCAATGCATACGAAGTTGATGCTGCAGATGTTGAGTTATTCACTGTTTGTTTTTATTACTTATATAATGAAGCACATTCCTTTTAATACCAAAGTGATATACTGTGAAAAGTCAAAGTATTATTTATGTTGTTTATTTCGTAAAACATAACAAACAACACAATTACATAAAAGAAGGAATTTTGAAAGTCAAAAGGAAAAATATTTATTGGTTTGTAGAGTGACTCACAAGAAGAATATGCTTTAAATGATGTTGCATATGAAAACAATGATGAAGAAAATGATGACGAGTATGAGATTGAAGACAATGAAGAAGAAGAAAATACAGAAGATGACATAGAGGAAGAAGAAGATGATGATGATGAAAATGAAGAAGAAGAAAATGAAGATATTGAAGATATGAATGAATTTGATAATGATGACTATGAAGAATATCAACTTGGTGATAATGAAGAAGATATGTTCCTTGATGATGACCTTGATGCTGAACTTGATGAAGATCTTGAGGCTCTTGAAGGAGAAGAAAGTGATGATGATGAGGAAGAAGAAAATGAAGAAGAGATTGAAGATGTTGATGAAACTGAAGATATAGAATATTCTTTGACTGATGATTATTTAACATATTATGCAAGCCGTTATTATGTTGACCCATTCGCCCAATTCTTTGATGGGTTCTCAGGTACTCTCCCAGGTATGCCATATGCATTCTAATTTCAGCGTTTGTTTAATGCATAAATTGGAACAACTGAAATCAGTTAATATTTATTTCTTTTACTAAGATTTTTATTATAAAATTAAATTAAAAATAAATTAAAAAGTAGTTATTCTAATTTAGTAAATCGTTGTTAATATCCTTCTTTTTTAAAGGAGTGTTGACAAGAAACAATAACATTTTACACAATATTAATAATCTTTTTGAAGTCTCTTATTTTTCTTTCCTATTTTTCTTCTTGCAACATTAGGATTCTTTCTTCCATTCTCAATGACTACAGATTTCTCTGCAAGAGTAGCAACTCCAAACCCATCAGTAATTTTACTATGTTTTTTTGCTGTTCTCTTTGCTGCTTTAATACGTTCATTGTAAACATCTTCAGTTAATATAATTCCTTTATCTTTACCTCCTTTAGGAATAGTAACATTATAAATTCTACCACGTTTACTAAGTGTTCTGTTTGCATTAAAGTTTTCTTTAATTGATCCATTTGCTAATACATAATAGGAAATACGTCTTAAATCATGATATCCACATTTTGGACAGAACATTTTTGTCATATCAAAAATTTGTTCTTGACAAATAAGGCATTTTAACATCCATTTCATTATTTTTCTTATCATTTTTCCTTCAACAGACATCACTCGAATTCCCATTTGCATCATTACATTTTGCATTGTATAATCAGAAGTCATACAAACAACACGTAATGGTTTAATTGATTTTTTTTCAAATGTTGTTTTCTTTGTTAATTGATGATAGTTTGTTGGTGTGATCCATTCTCCAAACCCATCATCTTTCTTTTTATTTTCTTTTTTCTTTCCTTTACTTACACTAATGAACCCATCTTCATCAACTTCAACCTCTTTTTCTTTTTTAATTGGTGCTTTAGTAACAATAAATTCCGTTCTTTGACTATCTTCATTTGGTTCTATTCGAACTTTACCAATATCTTTATCCTCCTCTTCTTTTATTTCTTCTTTATTGTCTTCTTCTTTTATTAATGTCTCTTCTGTGTCTTGTTCTTCATTTTCTTCTATTTCTTCTTCTTCAGATATTTCATTATAATCATTATAATAATTATATCCTTTATCTTCTTCTTCATTTTCTTTATCTGTTTCTGCAAATACATCAATTTTTTCTTTATGCTCTTCTTCTTCGGGATCATAATCATATTGAGTAACAATTTTAGGTCTTGTTTTTGCATTTAACATTTCCCCTAATTTTGGAAATCTTGGGTCTTCTGTTCCTTTAACTTCCTCATTTTTTACAGGAACAGTCCATGTTAATGATTTATGTTCTTCATCATTCTTCTGTATTTCTTTTTCTTCTTTCTTACTAGACTTAGTTTGTTTCATTTCATGAATTTTTTTTAATCGTTCTTGTTCATTCATCACTTTTCTTGAGTCTCCAGGATGTTTTGCAAGTTCAAGAAATGGTAATTTTTCTCTAACATAACGTACAGCAAGTGCAATAACCTTAATATCTTGCAATGATAAGTTTCTATAATCTCCAGTTTCTTTTGAGAATCTAACGGTATAATCAATATCTTCTTGTTTAGGTTCAGATAATTCTAAGTCATATGGTAGGGTTTCTAGTCTGTGTCGTGATACTTCATCCTTTACTTCTTTAATTACATCTTCAACTGTAACAATATGATGTGCAAATCGATTTAGTTTTGCTCCAGTGTCACGAAGAAAGATATTTGTATCAACAATTAAATAATCGTGAAGTAAATCCTCCATCTGTTTTCTTTCATATTTTTTTTTCTTTTTTTTAGGGTTTTAAATTTGTTTTTATTTTTGTTATTTATTACAAAAATATAATAATATGTTTTTTGTTTTTAAAAATTATAATTTATAAAATATCTATTATTACTTTCGAGTATTGTCTATATTTAAATTTGAACTATTGATGTAATTTTACTCAAACTGAGAATTTAAAGTTATACGAAACGATGTTTATTTAAATTCTTTAGTAAATCAATGAAAATATATAAGATCTTCCGAAATAACACAATAAAAAAGATAGGAAAAATAGCAACGAATTTATTAATTGAAGTACAAGAAATACTTCTTCAAAGTTTCAATGAACTTAAAAAGAAATATTCTAATAAAAAATAAAATAAGTATAATAAAATATAATAAATAATCAAAAAATCAAAAGAAAAGTAAAATACGAAAGTTAAAAATAAAAAAACCCCTTTTTAAAAAAAAA